GCAATACTACATTGGGTGCTCACCCAGTAGCGCCATCCAGCTCCGTCTACTCGAGTGCTGGTCCGGTAGCAACGACACCAAGAGCTCTGGTCGGGAAGCGCGTCAGGCCCAGCCACGGACACAAGAGGAGCGGAAGCCTGACTGATTCTCGTAGAGAAAAGCAGCATGCAGCGGAGAAGACGATATTCCAGGAGACCGAGTTTCTCATGTCGCTGCCTTTTGCTGGCAGCCTTGTCAGAGGAAACTTGATGCCTCCTGGCCAGCCGTACGTTGAGATGATGTCTCCTAGCCTTAGTGGCGAAAACCAGCGACAGACCACCCTATTCCAAGTGCCCCCTGAGCACAGAAGCACCGCATCGGCGATGTCGGGACAAGGTATGAGGAAGCTGATCGGCAGCGTACGACGTGCGCTCAGCACGCGAGGACAGAACGTCTCCCCAACCCAGGGCAACTTCATCAACATTTCGCCCATTGGACCCCGTGGAGCCACCACTAACCGGCTCCCTGGTACCGCCATCGTCCCGCAAGCTCAACCGCGACTGAATGGCACCCGGCCCCCTGTTCGACTCGACCTATTGGGTGCAGAGATTGTGGAGGACTTCAAGAAGGCTGTTCGAGAAGACGCCGCGGTGGAGGCTGCGGCAGATGCTGAACGACGCGGCTATCTCAATCCGACCATCGGAGCGCTGCATAGTGCACTTCCTGATGGGGCCCTGGATTACTCCGCGGCCCATATCACATCGGCCTTTGGCAGCAGCATCCACGACAATGACACCCTTAGACCTGTCAGTGACATGGCCATTACCACCGGGAGCAAGTCGATTGTCATTGTCGACGACACGGTGACCAGCCCTCTTCCTGCAATGCATGGAGCAATTCCCGTCAATGATTCCGTGGAGGCTTTTGCCGATTCTTTCATGCCGCCTGCAGCTGATCCGACACCGCCGAACACGCCACCCGGACATCTGATGGGCACCCCTAGACGGTCTTCATATCTTCTCAATCAGCATGTCATAAGACCGTCTCTATCTGCGGATCCCTTACCGCCATTCGTTCCTGACTTGGCAACGCTGGGCGATAGTCAGGCACGTCCCTCTGTAGACACCGATCGTCCCGCATCAGACACTGTGGGACCGATTTCAAGGCGTCCCACTCTCAGACGATCCGCGAAGAGGCATATTCGTCAAAAGTCGAGCAGGACCAATCGCTCCCTTGATTCTGCTACAATTCCCCGACGTGCTGCCTCTTTCGGAAGTGCTTTCAACCCACGCTCGACAGTGAAGAGCTTCGATGCGACGACTTACTCGGGGAACTCGGTTTCTGACGAGGACGAGCCCAGTCCTGTGCCTGAACCTCTCCGCATCCTGAGACGACGCCCCGGCGGTGACCTGCGAGCTGTAAACAATGTCGGCGATTTGGACGCCTTCCCACTGCGTAAGTCGCGGTCTGTTGGATCACTCACGACATACTCAGAGTCTATTCGAAGCTCCTATCTGCAAAGCTCGAACCATGATACCAGTGCCTTTGTCGATGTCGTTTCTAGCGAATTTTCCCACCAGGACAACGCGGAAACTTTCTCGCTCGGGGCCCTGGCAGAGCCGTCGGCCAAACGTCAAGTTTCTCTGTTCAGCACGCACTCGTCTAAACCAATCATGCGTCCGTCTTTCGAGGCAGAGGCACAAAAGTTGGCACAAATTCCAGACGATGCTGACGATGACGGCGGAGTTGAGTCGGCTCTACTTAAGCTGGAGGGCAAGTACGAGAAGAGGACATTCAAGCTGTCCATGGAACCCGCCAACACCCCTCTTCCAGGTGTGATCGCAGAGATGGTTGCAAAGAACGACATGGAAGGGTCACCCAAGCAGGGCAGACAGAACCGGCACTTGCATGTCTTGCCTGGAGATGCGATCCCGAGTCACCAGCATCAAGAGGGACCCGATGCACATGCAAGTTTCCTTGATATTCCCCAACGGCCGCCCACAGAAACAGGCTCGTTCCTGTCCGAAAAGTCGGGAGGATCGTATTGTTCGATCCCCCTTTTGGAACGAGATTTCTCAGATGACGGCCAGAGCAAGGCAAGCGTTCGCGAGTGGACCAATATGTCCATTCTCCAGGGACCAGACGACGATATCACGCCGGCTGTGACACCTCGTCCCATGGAAGACACTGGATCCCATCATTCGTCCTACGAGTTCGTGCGTAAGACAGAGAGTATGGAGAAGATCAAGTCAGGTGACACAAAGGCGCCGCCGAGCGAGCAGTCATTTCTGGAAGACGACAGCGATGGAGAGGACGACAATGTTTCCGACTTATCTTCCGAGCTTTCGGCAGAGGTTGTCGAAGCAGACGAATTCGTGGCACCGAAGCCGCAGGCGCCCAAGTCACATCGCAGCGCCTCGATTTTGGAGTTCGACCCTCGTCCTCTGCGAGAATCAGTCGTTAGCCCTGTTGACAGCCAAAATCCTCCCTCGCCGCCAATGACACTCGTCCAGGCTCTTCGTATGTCGCCTGAAGCTGCCATGATCCCGGAGCTTCGCGAGAGTCAAGTCTTCCAACGGAAGCCCCTGCCGCTTACTCCTGACGCAACTCCGACTGATGCTTTGTACCTCAACTCCCCCGCTGATCCCACTGGTACGAGGGAGGCCTTGCGCGGGCAGCCAAAGATACCTGAGGAAGAGCGAGAGTCGTCATTGAGATTCTCGGTGCATCTGCCCTTTATCCTCGCCTTCGATTCAGAGATCTTGGCCCAGCAGTTCACTCTCATTGAAAAGGACGCTCTGAATGAGATCGACTGGAAAGAGCTCATCGAGATGGGCTGGAAGAACGCAACCAACAATGACTCCAGGTCTTGGGTTGACTTTCTCCGGAACACAGATGCTCATGGCGTTGAAGTAGTCATCGCTCGCTTCAACATCATGGTCAAGTGGGCCTGCAGCGAGATTGTGCTAACCCAGAACATTGAAGAGCGGGCGCGCTGTATCATCAAGTTCATTCACATCGCAGCTCACTGCCGCCGCTACCGCAACTTTGCGACCATGAGCCAAATCACCATTGCTCTCACGTCGATGGAGGTGTCGCGGTTGACGAGGACTTGGGCCATGGTACCGCCTTACGATATGAAAACTTTGCAAGAACTCGAGGGTCTCATCTCCCCTACACGAAACTTCTACAACTTGCGTGCGGAGATGGAGGGAGGCTCCGACGATGGCTGCATCCCATTCGTCGGCATCTACACCCATGATCTTCTATTCAACGCGCAGCGGCCGTCTGAGATTGCTAGCTCGCCGACAACCGCCCCTCTGGTCAACTTTGAGAGGTGCAGGTACTCGGCTACCATTGTCAAGACATTACTTAGGCTACTGGAGGCCAGTACTCTATACGAATTCCAGCCTGTTGAGGGCATCACTGAGCGCTGCCTCTGGATGAGTGCTTTGAGCGATGAAGAGATTCGCAAACACTCTCACCGCCTAGAGTAGGCCAACATTGGCACTGCTCGCGGCATCTATTACTTAATTACGTCAATTTCACAATGACGGAGCCCATAAGGCAATTACGACCATCGAAAGATACCCGGATTTTGTACATGTGCTTCTTACGGATCACGACCTTCGCTCACGTTTCCTTCCCCAAACCTGTACAACAAGCACATACCCAAACTACACATTCGTTTAAGGCTTCTTTCAGCGATCGTCGTTCTACACGACCCTACCCGAGGTGGCATCCTCGAGGTAGTGGAAATATACCCTGTACTGTTAATGTTAACAAGATATCACAAGAGCATACACGGCTCGGAATGGAGGATGAAGTAAGCGGTGGCCATGGTAGGCCCAACATGCACATAGATACTTATGGCTGTCTATGCCCCAACTCAGCGTCATTTGAGCGAGCGAGCGAGCGATCAGGCGAGCACAAGGAGTTGTTAGGAAATGGGACTTTTGGGACGGAACGGACACGTCGGGCTTCCTAGGCCCAGGGCTTTGTCTCTTGAGCAACGAACGTTCGATACCCCCTTGCATGTTAGATTATACTCTAGGCGAGTAAATCAGAGAAATGTTTCGAAAATTGAATAATGCTACTCCCATTCGTGACTCTCCTGGTGGCTCTGCAGGTCATACGCCTGTGAAGTGATCCGGTTACCACTCGCCATCAACCATTGTTACTTCCACAACTATCCAATCATGAAACTCGACCAAGGAGATGACTACCGAGGAGATGACCAGCATAGACGACAAGTCGCTTTAGGCTCGCCTTTCCGCTGCCTTTAAGCCGTCTTGGTTGGGAACGGACTTCAAGATGCCGCTTGACAAACCAAGGGCTGTAAAAACTCGTTCTGCCAGATCGGCAGATTTTGGTCTGATCTTCTTGTTTCCCGCCAGACTCTTACGATCGATGCAATGGAATGAATGTTTGGCATGCCAATATCGGCACTGAGATGGCTTACAGACAACAGCAGATGGATGACAGGACATGGGCATTCCAGACAGTCCATGAAGGACACCGAAGTCACGTCACCACTCAAACACGTGTGGAAGCGCAGGTGAGAGACCAACGACGGTTGTGGTATTTTGCAATGCGAGTTCTTCATCAACCAGAAGCCTCAAAGAGTAAAAGGGCGGGATAACGATCAAGTCCACCCCTACTGGGCCCACAGGGCTTTCCCTCCCCCCCAATACATGCACAATCCAGAGTATAGACTATATCACGGATTTGGTTCGAGTATCTTTCCCTCATTAGTGCGGCCGAGTTTGAACCCTTTGCCCCAAGATGCTACCAGCAATCATAAACAACTCCGGGAAGACGTATCTACCATTTTTCCATGACCATTGCTGTGTTTTCCCGCCGACCATTTTTGCAAGTGTTTTGACGAATCGCTTTTTCAATCCCACACTCAAGGGAAGGATCTTTTTCTCGTGTTCGTTTTGTCTTTTTGTTGGTTTGTCATTGTCCGAAGCCCCTCTCGTTTGGTCCACTACCTGACCGACACCGCAATATCAGGAAGTTTACCACTGAGACTCCTTGGGAGCAGCAGCGGCGGAGGCCTCGCCGGCCCAGTCGCCAGCAGTGCCGGCAGCGCCAGCGGCAGCCCAGTCACCCTCGGCACCGTCCCAGTTGGTGGCGGCGGGGGCACCGGTGAAGCCAGCGGCAGCAGGGGCAGCGTCCCAGTCACCACCAGCGGCGGGGAAGCCGGACTCGATGGCGGCGGGGCCCTCCTCCTCAACGCCGGGGAGCTTCTCCTCCTCAACCTTGTCCTCAGCCTCGGCCTCAGGGTCGCGGTCTGTTACGGCGCAAGCGCGCACTCGGTTAGCCATTGTCCAGCACCTCTGCCATAAGGAGCGGGAAACACATACAGAAGTACAGATCGACCATGACGTCCCAGGGGGTCTCGCGGTTGTAGATGGTGCCGCGGAGGCGGAGGACCTCACGGGCGAGCATCCACCAGACGAGACCGATGGAGTGACGGCCCTTGTTGTTGGTAGGGATGGCAACGTCGACGTACTCGGTGGGAGAGTCGGTGTCGCAGAGGGCGATGACGGGGATGTTGACGTAGCTGGCCTCCTTGATAGCCTGGGCGTCGGTGCGGGGGTCGGTGACGATAATCAGGCGGGGCTCCTTGAAGGAACGGGTGATGTAGTTGGTGAAGGAACCGGGGGTGAAGCGACCGGCGATGGCGACGGCACCGGTGTGGGAAGCGAACTTGAGGACAGCGCGCTGGCCGTAGGGACGGGCGGAGATGACGCAAATGTCGGCCGGGTTGTCAATGGCGGCGATGATGCGGGCAGCCAGGACAATCTTCTCCCTGTAGGTTGGCGCAAAAAAGTCAGCGAATTGCTGCAAAATCGCTGCGGATGCGCGCGCAAACAGGCCAAGAAAAGAATTTTGGTGTATAATTTTCCCTCCTGCGCCGCAAGCTCGTCGTTTCGGATCGGTTTCTTCTTACCAGGTCTTGCCAACGTTGATCACGTTGACACCGTCGGCGCGGGTCTTCCAGAGGTAGGGCTCCATGTGAGTCTGGAGGTTCTTGCTTCCCAGGTGGGCTTGAGCTGCAAGCAGCATCTCAATGTCCTGGGAAGTGGCATTGAAGACCGAGGGCAGGTTAGCGGGAGCCATCTTGGGCGATTTGGGTCGATCTTCCACGGGGGTGACGAGGGGCGACTTGGTGGTGATGGAGGAGTATTTTCGATCAAGAGCTTCTCGTGAGGAAAAAAGTTCCAGGCAATATTCAGAGAAGTGTGCGCGCTCGCCTGCCCTGACCGCGCTAGCCGAACCGGGACTAGCCGCACTTGGGGTCGCAGCTGCTTCTTGCAGCACGTGACGGAATGAGCTAAGCCAGATGTGGATTATAGCCCCACCCTTTTCGAGCGATGGGAAGACGGGGCCATTGAGGCTGGAAATTTTATGGCGACCCTCCACGCCGATGATCGTGTTGAAGGGGAACTGTCGCCGCCATGCCTCCCAGATTACAGAGCCTGCAACGGCTAGGCACCATTAGCCGTAAGCTCCAGTTGCGATTGAACCTGTGAAGGAAGTGAACCGACGGCTAATTGCTCGAGATAGTGTGCCTGCGCCCAGCTGTGAGGCCAGCAACCCCGAGCTTCCTCCCCGTCGTCCAAACCGCCAACCTCTCCCTGAGGGAGCGGAAGCGCAAGGCGAAGTCGGACCCGTACCGATACCAGCAGGCGCAGCAGCGCAAGGCCGCCAACGTGAAGAGGCAGGCTGAGATCCAGGCGGAGAAGGACGCGAACTGGGGCGACCCGATCCACGGCATCCCATCTCCCTTTGTCGAATCGTTCGACTCGGCCGGCCAAGCGCCCAAGACACCCGATATCAGGGACGGAAAGGGCAAAATCATCGCCGAAGGCCATGCGCTTCCGACAACACCGGGACTCCTCAACCACCTGGTCACCCGCGACGAGCTGGAACAAGTGATACAGAAGGCGTACACCCTCACGAAGCCGTTGAAGAGCGACAACCCCGAGACGGCAGACCCCGTCAAAGAGCAACAGGCGGAGCAGGAGCATGAGAAGAACCATGCCAAGGTGGTGGAGATCCTGAACCGCATTCTCTCTCTGGAGAACGCCAACTCCAAGATCCTTCTGCACAGCAACATCAAGAGATGCGTGGAAGAGTTTGGACGTCACAACACCGACAAGGTCCTGAGACAGAAGCCAAAGTCGGCCCTCGCCGACCCCAACGCTCCCCCGAAGCCCGAGAGAGCCGGGCCCGACACGGGAAGCTCAGAGGTGCAGATTGCGATCCTGACGGCCAAGATCAGGAAGCTGGCCAAGGAGCTGGGTCAAAACCGCGGATACAAGGACAAGCACAACAAGAGGAATTTGAGAGTGCTGTGCCACCGGAGGCAGAGGTTGATGAGGTACATGGAGAAGAAGGAGAGAGGCAGTGAGAGGTGGACAAGCATGCTGGAGAAGCTGGGTCTGTCACCAGCAACCTGGCAGGAGCAGATCAGCTTCTAGGGAATGAAGATAGAAGACTTGTAAAACTCAGACTTGTAATTGTCCTCTATGTACAATATAGCGATCGGTACAGATGCTGATCTCCCCGTCATGAACCTGAGCTGCCTCCTTGCGCCGTGATGAACCTGCCATTGAAACGATGAAACACTGGTATTCTACAAAACTTAACAGAACAGTTGGAAACACCAAACTCAGAAAACGCTGATGTAGTTGCCGATCCGGTCCTTCTGGTTCTGGGCTATGCACTCAGCGATCCAAGTAATGTTTCGGATTTCCTGTAGTACATCAGTTGAGGTGCTAGATGAAAGTAACCGGAAGATCTTACCTGCTCACGAAGCCTCACCCAGGCGTAAACAATGGCAAAGGTGAATTGTCTGGTGAAGGCGCTCTTGGAAATTTCCATCTCCTTCTGGTAGAACATATCCTCCAAGCTCCTGCCATCGGCGCTGGAGCCGCCACCCATGTTGCCGGGTCCAGAGGGGCCACCACCAAGACCGGCGGCCTCGAAGAAGCTCTTGTAGTCCGAGACACCATCAACAGCCAGGCGGACGCCTTCGAAGTCATCTGCTCTAGAGAGCATCAAGGTGCCCTCCGGGTACAGCTTGCCGAAGCTGGGGTAGAGCTTCTTACGGTCGGACTTGTTCAGCTCGGTACCGAAGGAGTTGAGGGTGATGTTAATGGCACGGCGATCGGCCTCGAACTCGAGGATTTCGGACATGATCTCGGAGGTGGGCGAGCCGGACATCTCAGGGTGCGTGTTGACAAAGTTGTAGAAGTCCTCGAGGTAGTTCTTATACAGAGTGTTGCGGACAATCTCGATGTTGAGCTCGTCGAGATCCTGGTGGCTAAGACTGCCCTTGAAGTAGGCGGCAAGAGGCGTCTCGATCAAGACACTGTTGTACAGCTCCTCGATGTTCGTTGCAACGCACAGGACGGGCATGGTCTCGAACCAGCCAAGGGGATGGCATCTCTCGAGAAGCTCACGGGTATCTCGCTCGTGAAGGGTGCCGGTAATCAACAGGGCAACGTTGTCGATCATGTAGCCGTAGGTGAGGTAGTCCATAAACTTGGCAAGAGTGCCGATAGCGTTGGCTCGAACATAACGGAACTCGGAGACGAGCTTGTCGGTCGTCTTCGCGGCCAGGGCTGACGTCGAGGGGTTGGGAGGGAGGTTGCCGAGGAAGTCGCCATAGGCAGGGCCAAGCTGCAGCTTGAGGTCTGGAAACGAGTCAGAATGTCATCGCGTCAGATGGTGTGATGATACTGACCATCGATGGTCTCGCACTGGGTCAAGTTGCTGTAGCTGGAGCTTGTAAGGAGGCCATTTCTGTAGCCACGGACGATGCCCTCGAGGAAGCTGTATGATGATCAGCGACGAGCGCAACGCCACACGCAATGGTCTGCTGGTGACCTACCCGCTGTTGACGTTGAAGAAAAGACCCTCCATCTTGACGTTGGATATTGCTTGCTGATGCTCGATGCAAGAGAGCTGTAGAGGTGACGCCGGTGTTGTGGAGGCGCAAACGGAGACAGCTGCGGTCGTGGATATTACGCTTAGGACTCGGCCAAACACTGCACTCGTAGCATCCAGGTCCCAGCCTGGCGTCCCAGTCCCCATCATTACCGTGCAGAGAGTGGCGCACGGGCCCACCGCATTCAGCCAGTCGGCGAAACGGTTTTTACGCGCTCCGAGCCATCCCACTTGCCAATTGGTCTAGAGTGGGGGCGCCCAGTTCCGCCGTCGAAAAAAATTAGGTGGAGCTTGGTTCAGAAAAAAATATTTCCAAACCCATCAACTCGCTTCTCGAGCCTGCCTCCGCGGACAACAACATTTACACCCACGCGCGGAGGATTTTACCCGAGGGATCTGTACGGCTTGCTTGGAAGGGATCCGACAATATTTCACAATGTCTCTCTTCGTTCTCGCCGAAACGCCGGCAGGGTAAGTTTTTCTACAACAAGAACGAAAAAAAAGATGCCGTTGGACACCTGCGAGCTAACACGAGACACAGCTACGGTCTGTTCAAGGCTGCTGACAAGAAGCTCCTGAAGCGTGATGAGCTCACTTCTGGTCCTACCTCTTCGGAGAAGATCAATGAGATGTAAGTCGCGTCCACAAAAGCCAATGGCTAACCGTCCCTCGCCGACCAGCCAAGGCGCGCCTCGCGGTGCAGCTCTGGGCTGGAGACCGCGAAGACGGCTGCACAAGTGCGCAACCTGGACGCAAAGCTGACCGTCGCATAGGCTCAAGCTCAAGTCCTTCGTCAAGTTCGATAGCTCCGCCGTCGCCGTCGAGGAAGCCGCTGGTCTCAAGGAGGGTCGCGTTCCCCCATTGCTCGCCAACCTGCTCAAGGAGATCAAGGACGAGAAGAAGGCCTCGCTCGCTGTTGCCGACATTAAGCTCGGTACTGCGATCGGAAAGCTCCCCGAGTTGAACATTCAGGCCGTTTCCGACGCCGTCACCCTGGACCTCTTCCGTGCTGTTCGTGAGAACATGTCCTCTTTGGTGCCTGGCCTCACCACCGAGACCATGGACCGCATGGCCCTCGGTCTGTCCCACTCCATCTCCCGCCACAAGCTCAAGTTCTCCGCCGACAAGGTCGACGCGATGGTTGTTCAGGCTATCAAGCTGGTGGACGACCTCGACAAGGAGCTGAACGTCTACGCCATGCGCACGAAGGAATGGTACGGCTGGCACTTCCCCGAGTTGGCCAAGATCCTTAACGACAACCTCGTCTACGCTCGTCTCGTTGTCGCTGTTGGCATGCGTCAAAACTTCGCGGAGACCGACCTCTCCGACATCCTCCCCGAGGAGCTCGAGGGCCCTGTCAAGACTGCTGCAGAGATTTCCATGGGAACTGAGATCACCCCTGAAGATTTGGACAACATCCAACTGTTGGCCCAGCAGACCATTACCTACTCCGAGTACCGCGCTCAGCTCTCCAACTACCTTGAGACCCGCATGCGCGCTCTCGCTCCCAACCTGACCGCTTTGGTCGGCTACCTCGTCGGTGCCCGTCTGATTGCCCACGCCGGTTCCCTCATCAACCTGGCCAAGGCTCCCTCCTCCACCATCCAGATTTTCGGTGCCGAGAAGGCCCTGTTCCGTGCGCTGAAAACCAAGCACGACACACCCAAGTACGGTATCATCTACCACTCCTCCCTCGTCGGCCAGGCCACCGGCAAGAACAAGGGAAAGATTGCCCGTTCGCTCGCCGCCAAGACTGCTCTCGGTCTTCGTGTCGATGCCCTCGGCGATACCGAGAACCAGGACGATGAGGAGGAGAGAAGCATTCTCGGCCTCACCAACCGCATCAAGCTCGAGAACCTCCTCCGCAAACTGGAGGGCAAGCCTCTCCTGCCCAAGGGTGTCGGTGTCGGCCCCGACGGTCAGCTCACCACCCCTGGTGGCTTCAGCCTGAAGGAGAGCCGCAAGTACAACGCCGATGCCGATGGTGTCGAGACCAACGGCAAGCTTATCCAGGTCGTTGACGAGGAGATGAAGGATGCCGACAGCGAAGACGAGGATGAGGAGATGAACGACGCGAGCGAAGAGGAGAAGAAGAGCAAAAAGGACAAGAAGAAGGAGAAGAAGCGCGTCTCCATCGCCGCGGCCGAGACCCCCGTCAAGGAGAGCAAGACCGTCAAGGGCACCCCCGCGAAGCTCAGCGAAAAGGACTACGAGCGTTTGGCCGAGGAGGCCGGCATTAGCGTGTCCAAGTTCAAGCGCAAGTTCGAGCGCGGCGACGTCCAGCTCGGCGAGGACGGCTCTCCTGTCGTCTTCAGCAAGAAGGAGCTCAAGAAGCTGCGCAAGGACGGCGAGGAGGCCGACGCGACGCCAGTCAAGGAGAGCAAGAAGAAGCGCAAGCATGAGGACGACGAGACGCCCAAGAAGGAGAAGAAGCTGAAGAAGAAGCGCAGCTCTCTTGGTGCTTAGGAAGGGACCAAGCAGAAGCGGCGTCGCATTTCTTATTCATAGACGGCACCTTGGGCCTCATGTGGATCAAAATCTTCTTCAATGCGCTGTATGATACCTTGATCTCTCTGGCCGGCGTTATGGGATGGACCTGGGGGTTTTATATGGTCTGATCATTGGATGGGCATAGTTTCTCTTTTTACTGGCAGGAAAAATGCAATGTAATTGCTCGCTTGACCGACGTCCCGCGTCGTGTCCTGTGAACCAACCCCCGTGACATGTACAGCGCGCACATCGCGCACCAAACCCTCGACTACACTCCGAGATCTACCACGCTCCCCATGGTCTATTTCGATTTTTGTTTCGAGGAAGATGAACAGCTCTTTGGAGCAGAGCCCAATACTCACCGCGGCATCCACTACACCATGGAAGTCGAGGTCCACCAACGTGGCTCACATGCTAAGACATGTGTGTTTCTTGAGACATAGGTATCCAATCCTTTCGACCTGTCGACTGGCAGTGGCAAGATCGTCTGTTGAAACATGAATCACCGCCGATGGCAACGTTGCAGCGTATCCCTTCACATGCGCAGAAGCTATCAAGATACACCAGCAGAAGTAGTCAATTCAATACGATAACCCAAAGTTTTCCCTTGCATAACCATGCCAACTCTCTGTTCATGATCCGACGGGAATGCAGCGGCGGCCCTTGTCTCCCCTTGTACAAATCGGTGGCTTCTGGGCCCATTTGCAGCACTGTTGTCACGTCAGACAGATGGGCGCGAATGAGATGCAGCTAATGACTTACGCGGTAGTGTGCCTTGCCTGGGCACTCGCCACTGCAAAAGCATAATGTTAGCACGTTCCCATTTAGAGTCGATGATTGTCAAAACGACAGAGAGAGGGCGCGGTTGACATACGTAACGTAGCCGCCGGGGCAGGAGAGACTGTCCTTCTTGCAGATGCCGCTTTCGGTTTTGCAGTCGGGATAGAGACAGCACTTGACATTGGCTGGATCGTTGGGGCATTTTTTGTTCACAGTGAGACCATTTAGGGAGCTACACTTCGACTTTTTTTGACAGGTCCCGACGTTGCCCTGAAGAATGTCAGAGTCGGCGGACAAAGGGCTCGACCTTCACTCGCTTACATTGCTGTCCGTACAATAGTCGTCTATGGCTCCGAGCGCGCTGGAGATGAGCAGAGCTGAGAAGATGAAAGACGCCTTCATGGTGATGTACGGTTAAGTAGGTTTACAAGATATGTGTCTGAGTTGATGAATGACAATGGCTTCCCAGAAGGAAATGGACTGTCTTTTATAGATTTCGGGTAGGTAGCCTCTGCAAGAACTGGCGAATGAGATTTTCATCAACTTGAATCTTCACGCCCTTAACAAACCATCTCGAAAGTCAAAAACACTTGGTCTTACGTCCATCGTCTGTATGTTGTAGGTGCCGCTCTGGAGCCGTGTAGTAACTGGAACATGCACCTTGCCGCCATTGACACCAGGGCTGCAGGCCAAAAGTCCAGGGCATTGAGACCAGATTAGACTCCAGCTAACTGCTTGGAGTGAATCGAAATGTTGCCATTGGTTAACTTAGTCGATCGGGCCATGGGCAGATTGGGCAACGACTCAGACCTAGAAAGGTGCAGCCTTGCTGAGGTCGCTGGTTTGAGGCAATTCACATACTTCTTGTACCATAGATTGAGTAACCTGAGAGAGGGGTTGCATTAGCCTCTCGATATTGTGAGACGGAATTGGAAGGAGGTGCTGCTGGTTCATCAAGACCGGGATAGATGGCTTACACGGGGTCGGGGTAAAGTTGGGCCTGGACCACACAAAAAGCAAATGAGGCTTTCAGCTGAACTGCAGCTTGTTAGCTAAGAACAACTCCACCAATCAGTCAATCTTGGCTAGAGCGTTCTTGGATATCGTTAACCAACCCTCTCAACTTGCTCGACATCTGGAACTTGGATGTTGCAACCTGGGACAAAGGTCAGGCGACAACTCTAGCCACCCTGCGAAGTATGTCAACGCATGCAACCCTGAGACTATTTAAAGATATTTAAGGGACACTAAGTCACCTCGCTCAGACTAATGTTACGCTTTGTACCTTGTAATATGCCATAGCCTACTGCTGTGCTGTTGACGATGTCTCGGTGAGCAATCCTTCACCGACAAGCGAGCACGTGACTTTGATTGGCCCCACGGGGTGCCCGTTGCTGGTGCTTTCACCATCACAGCGCCATTTCAGATCAAATTTGGCACCCCGATCAGCCCCTGCATTAATCATTCGCAATAGTCAGCGGTATGGATGGCCAGAGGAGGTCTAACGTGAGTGCCACTCTGAACAGGCCAACGCTTCATGCTTCTCCAGGAGGGGCTGAGGATTTCGGCAGCGGACGGAGCTCCCTGGGCCTCGACTCCGGGCGTCAGGAACAGTGGATGAACGATTATTATGATCGCAGGGCGACCAGAAATCACGGCCCAAATGGTAGGTCTGGCAGTCTCCTTGTATCCAATCAATGCAGCAAGACAGAAACAGGGTCGTCTTTGCCACCGCGCCAGCAGCGACCGCAGCGCGTACCTTAAGGTGAGGTAACCAGCCCAGGGGTACCTCCCTCATCGGCGTCATAAAACTAGCGCCACGTCTTTGTCTCGTCGTCTGGCAACGTTTTCGCTGCATGGCGGTCTGCCTTGAAAACGGCAGGCGAGGTTGACTTTGCTCTACTGCCTCCAATAGGTACCTACCTGCCTAGCTTGGGAAATACCTACCTTACTCTTTCTGGTGGAAAGAAACAAACGGGCAGTGACTGGCAACTGCGAACCAGCTGCACCTTTTGACGCGGCCCAGTCATCGGTTTCGGACGATTCGACAAGCAAGAACCCAGTCACGCAGCTGTCCCTGGTTCAACATCCGAATTTATCTTCACCTCACCCACGCATTGGATTGGCCCTGCTGCTGACTCATCTCTCAACCCAGGTGGCTCGCATACAGACGACGACGCCTCTGATGACGGCGAGGCATTCCCCCCACAACGCGTCAATTGGGCTGCTATGAGAGCAGATGCAAGCATGGAAGAGTATCTACGAAATGCACAGATTCCCGAGTACTCGGATGAAGAGGGCGGCAGCGGTCCTCTGGAAGACCTCGGTGACATCTCCGCCGAGGACACCAGTGTCGAAGACGGCGAGAATCACATCGACCAGCAAGAAGAAGAACCCGAGTTCGACCCTGTTGCTGCCGGTCTGAAGGAGATTTCAAACCTGGGGAAGTTCACCGTCAGCAGCCACAAGCAGGGGAATGGCGTTGATCAGCTCCGGCATGACAGCCTTAAGAGTTACTGGCAGTTTGTCTCCCTCTACACAATGCTTTGGCAAGGACAGCACGAGACTGACTGCTTGCAGATCCGACGGGCCTCAGCCCCACAAATTGACCGTCTACTTCATCAAGCGTGTCGGCATCAGAGACATCCGCTTCTATGTGGACTACAACGAGGACGAGTCCTACACGCCCACCAAGATCATCTTCAAGTCAGGAACCAGCGAGAACAATCTCATTCAATTCGCCACCATGGATCTGTCAGCACCTTCAGGATGGCAGCTGGTTCCCATCGCTGGCTCCGGCGGTGGTCCTGACGGCAACACCCTGGTGTCGTATGTGTTCCAGATGCAGATACTCGAGAACCACCAGAACGGCAAAGACACACATCTCCGTTCTATCAAAATCTACGCAGCGGACACAGATGGCGCGAATGTCGAACGCGAACGGGACTCTAACAACGTCTCTGTACACAGCGTGAGTATGATTAATCTCCTTATAGATCGCCCTGCTGATAAGTTCGTGCGAAGGACCTCACCATGGAGGATGTTGCTGCGGATGAAAGGCCAGCCGACCCCTGGGACATCTCTGTACTTGAAGCTGGCCTTCCTATTCCCGACTTCATGAAAGAGCCTGAGATTCGATGAGCGATGGGACACGCGGCAGCCCCGCCTCCTGAAATTATAAAGGAGAGTCGTGCCGGAAGCCTGGTTTACGAATTTCACGAACGAGAAAATGCGAGTGTGACGGATATTAGTAGCATCAGTTCTTGTTTTACTGTAATGATACCCAAATCGGACACGGAAAAGAACCGGATGAGAATCAGGCGTTGGATGGGGAGGTGCAGGTCAGGATCGAACGTCGGACGGTTCAAGTCACGCACCACCGCGATGATGTGAAACTATACTCATTCACTGATTACTCAATATGATAGGTTGAATCCTATTCCTGCCCCATGGTCTTGGCGGCGTTCAACGACTGGTCGACCCCCACAGGTTGCAGCAGCATGTAGAGAGCTTAGCGCGAGCGGCTGAGTTTTGGTGTGGCAGGTTTACTCTCTGCATTCATCGTGATCCCTGCAGAGCCGGACGAATTAACCCGTATCTGACACCGAGACTGGGTTGCGACAACAAAGCCCACGTGATGTGGTAACTGAGTTACTCGCATCACAGCCTTTGAAATGGCGGACGCGAGGCTGATTCCTGGAACACTCAGACCTGAAGCACCGAAGCCTGCGATACTCAATAACCTGCGACGATGGACCAAGATGAATCGTATCGTTATCAGCCTCTGCCACCTGCTGTTGAGCAAAATCGTCCACCGCCTTTCACACGGCTGCTGTTGCTCAAACCAGGGTCAGCTGAAGACCCTTTCGAGGCGCACCTGGAGCTTGTCCACATCGAGCAAGCTCCTCCCTACGAAGCTCTGTCATATACTTGGGGCAAGCCGACAGAACAACCGAGAGACTACATTTGGCTCGACGGCCATCCATTACCCATCAAACCAAACCTCGAAGATGCGTTACGGTCACTGCGTTTCCCGAACCAAGCTCGGCGTCTCTGGGTTGATGCTCTCTGCATTGACCAGTCGAACCTGGACGAGCGCGCTCGTCAGGTTCAATACATGAGGCTAGTTTATAAGCATGCCGCTCGTGTCGTCGTTTGGCTGGGTCTCAAGACTAGTGGAACTCATGAAGCATTGCAAGCTGCGGAGAGGATTGCTAGACTCAGAGAATACACAGACCCGGCTCGCAGCGGCGCGGATAGTGCTCCGCCTGACTCGGATACTCTTCAGGCTCTAGTCTCTAGCATGATGGAAGATATCCCTGAGTCTGCCATGACTAATTTGGATGAGGTATTTCAACGGCCGTATTTCACTCGCTGCTGGTGCGTCCAAGAGGTTGTGGCGTCGTCCTGGGCCATAGCCAAGATTGAGGATTTGGAGATGTCGTTTTTCGACCTGATCGCATCATCCTTATTCCTCGTACAATTGAAACAAGAAGTGGCGGTCAACGCACCATGGGAGCTATGGAACAATATCTTGATGGTCCGGCAGCCCAACCATCCAGTGTACCATACAGAGGTGCAAGGATCTCTGGGCGGCTTTCTGCACCTTCTGGAACTCACACGAACCTTTCAGGCGACTGATGACCGCGACAGGATATTTTCCTTGCTGGGGATCTGCGACGAGGGAATCAATCCTATACTGGCTTTGACAGCGACAGCGAGTGGCCAGGTGAGCTGGCGCGGCCGCCTGTTCCGTCGCGGGTTGAAGCGAATATCTGATTTCATCAACGAATTCCACCCCCAAGGCACTTTCGGCACGCCCAAGGCGCTGATGCCGGACTACAAGCGAGAGACGGTGGCGGTCTACTGCGACTTGGCCAGGTTTCTCCTCCGCAAGACACCACGAGTGCTAGACGTCCTTGACCATGTTTCGCACAACGAGGAGCCTGGGACGGGAGAGTACCCGTCTTGGGTACCCAAATGGTTCGAGGGAAGAACGTGTCTCGTCTTCAGAGGAGTCTTCTTTACTGGGTTCTACTCGAAAGGCCGCACTGATCCATACCTGGCCGATCTGCACGACATTCCTGCGGTAGCTGCGCCGATGCGACCACGGGTCCTCTCTGTCGATGGATACCATGTGGACGTCGTGGACAGGATGAGCGATGTATTTGAGTTTGTCTCCGGGTCAAGGCTCGCAGGCTTTGCCGTTATCAAGGCCTGGTTTGATCTCTACGGCGTGCCCATCAACCCCAGGAGGGGAACATTATACCGCGACGGAAGTTTGCTCGACATGGCGTTCTGCAAGGCAGTCTTGGGCAGTTTCTTCGGGGCATCCATCGGATCCAACTACTCCTCGATGATGCAATATGGCGGGTTCTCCATGGCCTTGGACCAAAGCCTGTTTGTGTCGGTCGAAGAAATAAAGCAGGATACACTGGTCAAAGATCTTTCTGAGAACTTCCTGGCCTTTACAACCTTCTTGGCCGAGTCTGGAGTCGTGCAAGAGTCGTTCGGAGAGCCCGAGCGCGACAGAAAACTTGTGAGCTTCTTGGTAGGGGTCGCTGTTGCTGCCAACCACCGCCGCGTCTTTGTGACTCGAGACGGGCGCGTAGGGATTGGCCCCAAGATGATGCGGCCCGGGGACGAGGTCATTGTGTTGTTTGGGGGTCGCATGCCTTTTGTCGTGCGCCGAAGGGAGAATCACCATCTTCTTGTGGGAAGTTGCTATGTCAATGATGATGAGCTTATTTGGGGGAAAATCACGGATAACGTGAAGCACAACCGAGGCGGTCCTCGGACTGTGACTTTTGAGTTTCATTGACACTAGTTCGCAGAGAGACACATTCTCTGCTGGATGGAAGACGATATCGGAACGATTTTGCTGCGAGTTGAGGCAAGTCAGACCCTCGGCCTAGCCCTCTGCGGGCGTTAAGTAACACAGCAACAGCTCGCTGAATCCGGCGCCGGGAAGGGCCGAAGTTGCTGTGGCCAAGATCGCAAGAGCTTGGGCCTCTGCCGCGAACTATGTTGGTTGATAGGTCGAGAAGTTGGGACGACACATGGAACCGGCAGAGCAGAGGGGGTAAATTCCCCGATGTCGCCCCTCCACCATGCTTTGGCAGGTGGAGGAGGAGTCTCGAACGCAGTCGAAGTTCATGCTTCGGGCTCAGCTGACAGGAAAACTGGGCAATGGAGCAGGCGCCCTTTGGCGAAGCTTTAAGCGTGAAACATAACGCAGCCACTGACGCATCGACGGACTGCGATGCGGGGCCGGCCGGCCACGTCTAGACCGTGGCCCATGATGTCATTTCAGTAGCTTGTATCTTTTATATATATCCATATTGAAGTTCCCGTGAAGCTTATATCGGATATTGGGTGATATATGGCCGATGAGACGCCGACGTGTTCTTCCCGTCACATCACAACCGAAGGCGGACAAGCAAAGTGCGCACGATGCAGATCGTCGTCGTCCCCGCATCGCCCAAGACTGGGCAAGCCACGATACGAGCGTTGTTGGAAGATCCATCGGAACCGACAGTAACAGGGGTCTATCGGGATACAGGAAGAGTGCCAGCCGAATTCAGGGAGCATCCCCGGTTCAGGGCTGTCAAAGGCGATGTCGCGAATGTCGGAAGTCTCAAGTTTTCTGGCGCAGACGCATTGGTGACCATCACGCCGCCACTATATTCCGAATCAAAACCGTTGACGAGAGCGAGAGAGATGGCGGCGAATGTCAAGTATGCTATTGGCATGGCTGGGGACTCGGTCAAGCGGTTGGTCTATATCTCAAGCGTAGGGGCGCAGCTAGAACACGGCACGGTAAGCTGGGATCTGAACGAGTGGCGGGAGGAAACTGGAGCGCGAGGGGACTCCTTATACTAAGATGCAAGTGTAGGGCGAGATAAAAACAAACTACGAAGCTGAACAGGCACTTATTGGCTCTGCGCCGGAGGTTGTGTTCGTGAGATGCGCGTACTTCATGGAGAACTGGGCGGCAGCGCTGAAGACTGCCAAAAGCGAGCAGCACTACTTCCACTCTGTTATATCACCTGCGGACTACAAAATACCCATGGTGAGTGAGCGTGGTTTATACACCAAGGTGGGTTTGATGGTTGCTGATAATCTTCTTACAGGTCTCAGTACACGACATCGGCAAGACTTGCGCCGCGCAAGCGCTCGCAGCCGGATCCCCTCTCGGCGAGAATCCCTACGTCTTCGATCTCCACGGGCCGGACACGTACTCGACGGAAGACGTTCGACAGGCTTTTGAGGAGAGGATAGGAACGGGCGTCGAGGCGAAGCTGGTCGAGGGCGTTCAGCTGGAGGAGTTCTTTGGCGAGATCTTCCGGCCCCCAATGGCCGGCATGTTTGTGGAGATGACGAGAAGCTTTTTGCCTGGCGGGGTTGCTATCGAGGAGATTGTGGAAGGTTCAAGAGTTCAACGAGGAAAGACGACACTAAGTGAAGCTGTTGAGAGGATGATGGGTGGAAATGGGTAACGTCCTCGAACGAATTAGTGAGGGAGATGTTAGTGGGGGCTACTGATTGAAAATGTAGCATCGGACCACGCCTACGGGTACAGAGCAAGTCAAACCGCACAAATGGTAGCAGGAAGCATCGTGTAATTCAAGTTCAAAAAACAAAGATGGACCAAAAAGATACTAGGGGAAAGAATCAAAAAACGAACCTGGGTGTCAATCGCGGACGGGAATTGAGCCCGACGTGGGGGTCGAACCCACAACCTTGAGATTAAGAGTCTCACGCTCTACCGATTGAGCTAGCCGGGCGACTGGACCCAGCTGGTTTGTTGAGCTGGGAGCCCAATTGACAACCTATTTAGTGAAGCTTGAAAGCTATCGTGCCACGTCCGCCTAAACGAAGTTCGAAGTTCTGATGCCGCATGTCGAGTGCACGATGTCCAGAGTGAGTCAGAATTTGTGCAATCCTTTTTTGGTTTAGAGAAGGTTTTGTTGCATTCCAGTTAGGTTTGTTTGTCTTGCTTTGCTCATTCCCGAAAATTGACCCAATTCGTCGAGCCGGAGCCGAAGCCGACATTCCCAAACTGCCATCCCTCCCGACAGATTGATCTATGAAAGTCTCAACCTTTTTCCCCTCTCGAATTATCCTTACTCATTTGATCACATGAACTAGACTTGCTACTGGTTTATTTGTAAAATCATCTTTTTAAGAAATTCATCCCCTTAACCGTATCGAACAAGCGCATCGCATTCCAGCGATTCGGCATCGGGTCTCAAAGTTCACGGCTTCGTAGGATTCGAACCCCTGCCCTGCCTCAGTCCCTAACCTTCGGGCTGTACAGGGGTCTGCGGTTCCACCCCTGTCGAAACAAACAGGACCCTGAAAGTGTTTTGGCTTTCTTAACGGTTCTAAGAAGCTCTACACTCGGAAAACAAAACAGCTAGACAGAACAAGACCGTAAGCTGTCATACATATCGCTCTAGGTAGTTCACCAGGCGGCAGGGGATTTAATGTTTGAAAGAGAAAAGGTTTTATTCACCTGTGTCAGGGAGATTGTGCAGAACAGCACGCCTTGTAGAGCTCCATGCCCCCACAGTCAGCCGGCGGAAGCAGCAGACCCCATTCAATAAGCTGCGAACAGCATGGCAATGCAGTGTCTCGTTGGTTAGTCGATGGTCATCGTGATGTTGTCATTGTATTCCTGGCCCACTGTCGGGGGACTTTGGTTGTGGAGACACATCGGACTGACTTCTCGGTTCGAAAATGCCATGCTCGGCTCAAAATCCCATGGAAGGGGGTTGGGCGGAAACTAGCTACCTATTGTATCATCACACAATATAAAACGAGATCGTCATCCAAACTCATTTGAGACCTTCTTGTTCTTCTTTCCTGCTGAAACATCGAAATCAGCCGGCTCAAGATGCCAGTGTTAAGAAATCAAGAAGACATAGATACCGCCATGGTCATGGTGGACGGCGAGAAAGCACAGAAAGTATCTGACATTAGCAGTCACAACTCAGATAAGAATGATCCGGAGGAACTTCAGATGGATCACGGTGTCGTCGCCTGGCTTCAAGTCTTGGGAAGTTGGATTCTTTTTGCCAACACATGGTAAGACAATAAACCCTCTATACATATTCAGCTCCAACGCCAACTTTCAAGTACGCTGACAACATCAGGGGTCTCTCCAACTCTTTTGGCGTCTTCCAGGCATACTACTCCACGAACCTCCTGCCCGACACCAACCCTTCGACGATCGCATGGATTGGATCTATCCAAATCTTCCTCATGATGCTGATCGGGGTCTGCGCAGGCTGGCTGCTTGACGCGGGTTATCTCCGCTTCATCCTCGTCTGCGGCACCGCCATGACGTCCCTAGGTCTATTCATGCTCAGCTTGTGTACGAAGTACTGGCAGATTCTGCTGGCGCAGGCCTTCTGCGTGGGAATCGGGAGTGGGCTGTTGGGATTGACCTGCGTTGCCGTGATTCCGCTGTACTTCCAGAAGCGAAGGATGATCGCGACGGGGATCGCGGCTACAGGAAGCAGCTTGGGTAGGTGCACTCATGGCATTAGCGATGCTCGTCGTCTTACTTTGATTTAGCTGGCATCGTGTATCCCATTGTGGAAAGACGTCTCATCGCCTCTATTGGCTTTCCTTGGGCCGTCCGAGTGTTTGCCTTCATCGTCACGGCAAGTCTCCTGGTATGCATCGCCGTAATGCGTCTTCGGCCAAACCGCAAGCGTCGCGGTGCTCTCTTCCGACTGAAGCAATTCCATGACATCCCCTATGTAACCTTTTGCATCGGTAGGTCTCTCTCACAGGATCCCACCCCAACACCACCCCTAACACATGCCAGCCTTCGCCCTGATGATCGGTTCCGTATACATCCCCTTCTTCTACGTGGATGCCTACGCCATCCGTCTGGGCGTCGACGAGTCCACGTCCTTCTACATCCTCAGCGCGATGAACGCAGCCAGCCTCTTTGGGCGTCTCGCGCCCAACTGGCTTGCCGACAAATACGGCGGCATCAGCATCATGATGCCCTGCTGCCTTGGATCTGCCGTCGTCTTATTTCTCCTGCGCTTCGCGCATGACATGCCTGGTCTGATCGCGGTGTCCGTCGTCTACGGGTTCGTGTCCGGGGGCATGGTCTCGTTGCCGCCGGCCACGATTGCCAACCTGACGGACGACACGGCCGACTATGGGACGAGGATGGGCATGGGGTACACGATTGCGAGTATCGGAGCGCTGATCGGTAACCCCATCGGAGGTGCTGCGCAACGGCGTCGGGGAGATTCGGTTGCGGATGTTCAAAGAGAGTTTCAAGGGACCTGGATCTTTGCTGGAGGGTTCATGTTAGCGGCTGTTGTTTCGATGGTCTTTTCAAAGTATTTGAGAGTAGGGTCCGTCTTGCAAGGGAAGTGCTGAGGCTTTGAGTGCTCTCTGTCTGCAGCAATAACACTAGGTCGCGAGTGGCTTCTTAAGACTAAGAAATATGTAGCATCGAGCTTGAAAACAATGATGACAGAAACATCAACAAGCATCTGAAGCTGGAAGAATTTTTGTTATTCTACACTGTGTCCGGTCAAGACAGTACCAAAGGACTTGCCCAATTTCAGGGGTAATGCCCGAGCTTCCGTGAGCTCGCTATCGGCGACCTGCCCTCTTCAAGCTCAAAGAACAATAACTGTTTCGGAATAGCAACAGTCATTCTAGAAAGATTGAAGGTGAGAAACTTCTCCACCGACTTCACAAAAATAGCAGGTCCTTGAGACGAGCGTCGCACAAAAGAAGAGTTCCGATGGACACAACTGGCATTTTCAATGTTCTAACGACGACGACGATAAGGTGATGATTTGATACCCCTGAACCCAAGTAGACGAAAGTCATGAAGTTGGGTAAACGATGGCTCTTGAACAGAAACCGCTTCGTCGCGAACATGGTTATTCCAGGCATTCGAAGACAACATTGGGCCAAAGTTACGATTGAATCTTACAACAAGTCGTCAAACACTGCGCAAAGGCCGCCATTTCCCATCCCAGAGCCTCATCTCTTACACTTTATGAGCTCTCAAGACATTATGGCTGACCATCAAGTCCTCGCCGGACAAACCTAAACATCGGCTGCTGAACAAAAACTAGTCATATCACACACGCGGCTACAACAAGAGCCGGCGATGAAGGATTCATGGATGAATGACACAAGGCTTGCTTAGGGAGGAAAAAGGCAGTCATCGGCCTTAAAGCTCTATGTCTCTCATGTAAGACATAGGGTTTTGAAAAGGCTGTGATCTGACATGTCGCGACCTAAAATGAGGAAGCAACGTTGCAAACTTAATCTTCATCACCGTTGCTTCATTCAACATCCAAATGTGATTTCAGAGTCGAACGTTCGAACCGTATGCCTCACAGAAAGAGAGTCATAATGACACCACATTATGTCGACCTAAGCTAGATATCTCAAAAGCTCTCTGCGGCATCTATCACCAGGGCGTCCGAATGCTGAAGAAGAATTCAGGGGCGTATTCATGGCCACTTCGTGTGACAGCTACTGTCAGGAGAAAAGTACTGTCAGGAGAAAAGTGCAACTGCCACGCTCTCACACTCCTGACAACCAACGCGATTCTCGGCAAGTATCTCGGACTACCTCGTATTTCTCAGCTCTGGCACCTTTTGGACTATGGTTTGCATTGCAGATACTTCAGAGGGAAACGAGCAGTCGTCACCTGGGTACCGGAGGAACCGACTAATGACGAACCCCGTCGGCTCAGAACTTTCGGTCTTTGGGAAAATGCGCAGTCACATCGTCACCTGCCGCCCTGGAAAGGGGGAAGGGACTGGCCTAGTTAGTCTACCGGACAGATGTTGGTTGTCCAAAAGTTACGTCTAGCGTCAAAACATTTCTCATCACTCACAAATCACTTCATCAAGGGATTCCCCCAGCCGAATGCCCCAAAAGGGCCGACCAGAGGTGATTTGCAAAAGCGTTTCTTCACCGCTCCCAACTTCGAACCAACCACTTTCCCACCCTTACGGTATACACCGCACCTCACCGGAGCCCCTCCGATCCCTCACGGTCGTTCTGCAAGAACCAAAATCGCCACCGCGTTGCCCAGCCTCGCGACATCGCTGCGCCGCAGAAACCTCATTTCGCGGGAAAACGGATGGCGAGGCAGACCGCAAAGAAAGAGGGCGTGGGAGTGGAGATGTGTGCCCTGCACAAGCGAGTCACCCTTAAAAGGGAGGGGCTCGTGAAATGAACTCTCTCGCGCCGCTGTGCGGGTTTAAAAAAAAAAAAGGGCTTGCAGTCTCGTAGTTTACGGCGTGGTTCGGGGTCGATCGTCATCCGACGACGGCAGAGGACGGCGCGCTCGCCGAGATACTCGAGACTCGCTACCACGAAACTGATTTGCCATTTTTAGCCTTAGACCATTGTGTAAGTGGAAACGGTTGTCTCTGAAGATTCTGAGGTGATGCAACGCATCTCACCCATCGTCGGTTGAAGGCTATCCCAAACACTGAGCCGTATCATCAGGCGAAGGAATCATGTCCATAAAGCTTGGTTTATCCCACTGAGCATAAGTGATTCCCAAAGGAGCGTCCAGTATTGTGCATGGAACGACAGGTATTGGGCACTAGCGTGCGATTCAAACCCAAGGCCCGCAAGGGGGTGGAGGTGGAGGGCATTCCGGCTCCCCGGCACCAGGCCGTTGGAATACTCAATTACACTGCTTACTCGGAATTTGCAACTGCCATCATCTCCCTGAATAAGAAGGATGTTCTCGGGGCTGACGTTGCCTCGGCCACAAATTACCGAATGACCGATCTGCAATCCCTGAACGGAACGATATTTTGACCACCACTGCGGGGCATGCTCTGCACCGCTGGAGAAGTGCCTCGACGGCCTGTCGTCTGCAACATGATTCCGGAGAAGGCGAGTATTGGGAATCTCGGACCGGATTTTGCTTCAAGACGTCTGAGGTAGCGTTCTGTCCGTCGCACGCCGGAGGTGATACCGGATCGATCACCAGGCTTCGAGCGAACCGTGGTTATGGGCCCTGGGCCGGCCCCATATGTGATGTTTGCTTCCCGCCATGCATAACCGGAATATGTAGGTCGCTTCCGCGTGTCACATCGGTCACGTGGCGAGGGAAGCTCGCAACTTCGCCAGAGGCCGCTGGACCTCGTCGCAGATCTGCAAATGCTATGAAGAGGTCACCTGTTCCTCGTGGGCTATCCAATGCAGAGTGATCGTCTGGCGACTCCGGAGACTTCGAGAACCGCCTCGTGCCAGTTCCGTCGGACCTGACAGAAAGAGCGGTGCCGCCCCGCCGGATGCCTGTGTTCTGGAGCATTGCATCGTTGTGTTGCCTTACGATCCTAGCGGACCATGTCTTCTGCAACTCGCATCGGCGAAAGAGGATCGCAAAGGCAGAAAATTTATACAATGACTCTGGTGTAGCTACGACCGGTCTTGGGGAGGAGGTACGTAGTTCTGAAGCGATCATGTCCTTTTGAGCTCCGCTCAAGGAAGTGATCTGGAACATTGCAGAAAATGTTCAACCAGGACCAGCGCTGGGCGGCTAGCTTATTAAAGACCCAATAAAAGAAAAGCCAGGTCTTCACGACAGTGAGTGTAGGGGTTGGGTAACGGTGACGGAGGACCTTGACCGAGACAATGATCAGGCGCTTGTCCAGAGAACCAGCCTAAATGGGTCGCTTCGCTCGAGGAACCATTTTGAGACTATCAAACGGCAAGCTGCTTAGAAACGACAGTGATTGTCAGCGGCGCGCAATATTGCTGGATTGGAATGTTGGACAAGCCAAGTCTCGAAACCTGGGTACAAAATATCGAACGAATGAGAGTCTCTTTGGGTGGAGGAACTTGAGACGGAGGTTCATTTACACAAAGACGCGTTCTGCATGTCTGAGTTGAGTGAAAACGGGATGAATGCTTGCAAGCGCCGTTTGATGCAATAATTGTTGTTGGCAAGATGTCCGAAGAAGCGAAGAGGCATGCCGCTCCCCGAGAGTGTCGTCGCATTTCTGATTCTTGGTGATGTTGTTGCATATTTTCTTGCTTGCAGATAGCCGCATCTAGGCAAGCAAACAGCCCATTGGGCTTGATTTCAACACCCATCTGGGAACGGTTGTAAGCAACCCGGCTCCTGGGGAAGCTGCCGCGTCTCGGCCGGCGCAACTCATTGGACAGGGCCAACTTGCCATCTTGTGCCATTAGCTGCCGGACTACCCAATCGAGGGCGCGACCCAGCCATAGCTGACTGTTTTGGGGGCGAACTGGTGACCCATGACACCCTTGCTGAAGCGTATTCGTCGAGCTGTGAACAGGACGCAACATTTCTTCGCAGGATCTCGTGGCCAACAGGAACAACCAATCGGAAATCCATACAACGATCCTGTCGGATTCGAGTAAGTGGTCGCAAATGTCGATGAAGGCAAGGCAATGATAAGAGTGGTCAATCAGCCAGCGAGTCGGGGTGGCTCCGGAGACATTGCTGCGGCGGCGCACCGGTCGGTGGGTAAGATTAAGCTCCATCTCCATCTCGCATCTCGTGAAGAGCAGGGATATTTGACGGGGATGCGGAGCATGGGACGCAAGGGTCCGGCACATTTATGAAAGGTAAGTGCCGCGCGATGGCGCATGGGCGATTTGTGCGACGGTGAATCCCAGTGTTCCATCCCACCACCCAACGCACAGTTCAAGCCGCGGGAAGCTCAGGCCAGACTTAATCGCGTACTGATCGTGGTTAGCTGGGATGCGATTAATTATACAGGACGGTATCTCTGGATCAGTCGGAGGGTTGAGGGAGGCAAGGCCTGCCGCCGTTGAAAGCAAGCGAAGCGTTGGAAATTGCGCTGCTAGCCTCGCAGACCCAGTCGTTAATCCAGCGGAAAGGGGGCTCCTCAACAAGCCTGTCTAGTTATCGCGGCGACTTCCAGGGGCCAGAATAGGGGTTCCTGAACCCTAGAAGATTATGAAGGAATCAACGGCGGTAGCATGGAACTTTGGAAGCAGTGGAGCAGAGCCAGCGTCTCCGGGTTTGTATCCGTTTGTCGATCTCGCTCCGTCAGACGTTTTCTCCTGCCTTGAAATCGACGGCCGCTAGGGGCAGCTTAGGGAACGGCGAATGCTAGGCGTGTAGATCTGGGTCCAGCGTGACGGCCCGAAGACGTCAGGGCCGGAGTGCCAGGTTCTGATGCGAGGACAACCTAGAATGTGAGTTACCAGGTGGCGGTGGTACCGACTCAACCATTCGTACCGTCGCCTTCTTTGCTTGTTCATGGTTGCTTTTGAAGGTGACAGCGGCTAGCTTCCCAGCGCTTGGGTTGGGTCGTCACACCAGCGTAGTGTGAGGCGACGAGAGAGAGAGAAAAAAAAAAAAAAAAGCAGCTGCCGATCCGTATCAG